AAAAGAAATACAGGACTAAAATGCAGCCTGAGTTGGAAAAGCAGTCTAATTGGCTTCTTTTTCTGGAAGTTATACATTTTCAAAGTGTGAACTTGAACTGCCATGGGCCTGAAGCCTTATGCTTGTTACACATTTTACTTACATTGGTATTACCTGTTGAGCATAATTAAAATTTGATGTTGAATTTGCAGTTTAACATAATGTACTTTTGCATCAGAATTGACAGTAGCCTATTTTGTGCATAGTTATTTCCTGCTTTTTGTCTGTACATTTGACAGCTTTGCTGCCTTGTTTTTTTGTGTGTGTGTATCTGTGTGTGTACGTGTACCTGTGTGTGTGTGTGTGTGTATGTGCGCGCGCGTTAAGAAGGTAAAAAGAACTCATTATCTTGTTATGAATATTTAACCCCTTTTTCCAGGAATTAATTTTTCTCTTGAGGAGGAAGTTGGGGGGTATATCTCTTTATGTAACTATTAAGCAATAAAATAATGATATGAAATGGAAAGCCGTTAAAATATGCAACATTTTGGTATTTCTTGTTCAGTTAAGAAGATAACCATGTTGCCCCCCCCCCCCTTCCCCCAATGCCTTGATGCTTTAACCTTTGTCAGCTTTTTTTCTTGTTTTATTATTAAAAGAAAATTAAATCTACACACTATGACTGTTTGTTTTCTTGAGGATTTATATCCTGGTCATGTCATTGTGCACATTTTGTAGCATACTTCTTTATTGGAAGATAATAATGTTTGAAAATGGATGTACCTCTCTAGGGGATTAGCTGATTATAGTGTATTAGGGCAAAAATAATCCCAAGAATGTGTATAAAAATGCATCCATACTGCATCATATAAGTTGGATTGGAAAACAAATCCTCCTTTTGTCATTAAATGTGGTTTATGTCTCTTTTATTCTGTACTTACACAATATGATATCACACTCGTAATCATTGTGAACAATTCTAAGTCGGTCAATAATATACATCATGAAATGAACATAAATATGAAGTTCATCTATAAAATTGTACTTTTTTCACACCTTTTGCTTTTTGATTGCTCAAAGTATATATGATGGATTTTATATACATACTAGTACTATTTTAAATAAATCTATTTCAGGGCATGATAATCACAAATAAATATTGATAGACTTTATAAGCTTAGAAATTGATTAAAAGATGCAGTATGTAAATATCTTAACCTTGGGGATGTCTGATAATATTCATGGACATATTGTATTTAATTGAACAGATTATAAGGTGTCGTTTTGCAACAGGGGCCGTGTCATAGATAGTAACTTGGCTACAGAGAAAATGAAGCCACAGTGTCCTATGCTGGGATTTCCTATGGCTTTTTTCCATAGATTATCCCCTTTGTTCAAGCAGTCAATCCAAGCGAGGGAGATATAAGTCAGCACATGTGTTACACAGTTGTTCATCACATGCCTTGTTACTACCACACACTTCAGGTTTTTGACCCGAGATAGGTTGCTTATGTTTTTGTTTATATTTTCAGAGTTACGCACAAGTTGTGATCGACTTTCTGGGCAATCTATTGTGCAGAGTGCATCCATCTTTCCATCTGCTTCCATCTGGACCTGGACTCGTAGTGCCTCCAAGCATCTGTAGATGTAGCTGATGTGGTGTGCGTGACTTCAGCATGAGGACAGGATTGATGATCAGTAAGGCAAACTAACAGATGACAGAGGCAAGCTGAGACATGGGAGAGATAGTGCTCTATCAGGCGCTGTACAACTACAGCCCTAGTGATGAAGAGAAGGAGGAAGGGTACATTGATATCGAGGTCAATGACCTCTTGGAAGTGACCAATGTGGCCGAGATCGAGGGCAGCATTGAGGTGCCGGAAAGCTGGCTGACGGGGACAAACACGAGGACGAGGGACAGGGGGCTCTTCCCTGGCACCTATGTGAAGTATGTGAGGACCAGCAAGAAGACTCCACCCCTCCCTTCCAAGCCAAGGAAATCCAAGCCATCATTGCCCCACAGCCAGGAGAACGAGTACCAGTCCATGGCAGGGCTGGTCAAGACGCAGTCCAGTGCCCAGTCCTCTATAGATGACTCCGGCTATGGCTCACCACAAGGTCAGTTGGTCAAAGGTACCAGCTCAGCAGTAAGCCACCTTTGCACCTTTGTAAGCCACTTTGTGTTTTATTAGATGGACTTCTGCTGAACTGGTGACTGTATAATTCCTATATTAAGTTTCACTGTAAAACCTGAGATTCTGTTACATTTACCTGTGTGGAAGTACTTAAACAGGAAAAGAGCAGATATGATCCTAATATATCAGGGTGTTCCATTTCCGTAGGACAGATTGCAATATCCTATGCAGAGATTACAGCAGGTTTTTGTAAGATGAAAAAAAGGTCTTATTTTAACTGACTACAATCCGTTTTTTTGTAATTAAAATGGTCAGCAGAAAATGCTTTTCTCTTATTTAGATTGAACTGCCCTTGGGGTGGTGACACAATGAAAGTGTTGTACTAGCTAGGTATTTCTAACTACCTTTGTGGACACTCACTAAATACAGTTAGATTAAAGGATTACCTAGTACAAACTACCAAGTACAATCATTTCATTCAGCTTTAGTCTAAGGCCACATTCACAACCAAAGCTGATCCGCAGACTAACTGATCTGCTGATCAAATATGGTCAGCCCAGTTAAAACCATGCTGCATAATACCCGCAGGGAATCTATTCTGTGTGTTAGGTTATGGTTATGATAAGATCACCATATGGAGCCAATCTAATCTATCTACTGCCCCCATCACTGGACTCTGATTATTTACAATTGGTTCTTCCCACACACTACAAGAGTTATCAGAAATCACAAAAGAGACAAGTACAAAATTTGGAATCTCTGAAGAAAGTGAATAATCATTTTTGGCTCTGTTTTTGTATTTCCTCAAAAATTGTAAAAAAGACTGTTATGATTGAGTTTTTTTCCTGTAAATTGGCTGTAATTATAAAAAGCCTAATTCAGTGCATTAGTGGGTAAGACATCCTGGGGATTACATTGGCTTACTGTGGTTAAGAATAGTAATTAAAATGCTTGTTAACACAATTACAACTGATTTAATCAGAATAGATGATTTGTGGAGTTTATAACTATAATGTTACAGTCAGTTGTGATGTAGTCCTCTCTTCTATTGCCTGATGCGCAGCCAGTAACCATGAAGAAATCATCAGTATCGTTTTAAAAAACTATGAGAGATGCTTTTCATGGTCTCTAGATAGGATAACAAAACAAGATTATTCTTTGCTTAGAGACTTAAATAATAACATCAGTCAAACACAACATTTTGGTCCACCATCTATGGATCTTGGTCATGAGAATGACTATTTTGTATTGGAATGACATTCATTTGTTCCCCTGTACACATAACATACTCATGGGATACAAAACAAGGGATTGGGCTTATGACATATTTTTATGTCTTTTTATGGCTTTTTTGTATGTTTAGTCATGCTTTTTTTTTTTTTTTTTTCTAAAAAAATATTGTCAGAAAGTTATTAAGATGTCTTATTCAGTTAAATGAAGTGCAAATTGTGGAGTCCAAAATAGTTCTAATTCAGCGTAGAAAGTAATTGTCAGAGAAGGCTTATCATCTTGTTAACGTCATAGTCTGAGGTTTTTCACTGAAGCCTAATCATGTCCTGCCTCTGTGATAATTACCTGTTTATTATACTGGACGTGGGAGAAACAAGAAATTCTACTTCTTTATAGCTTGATTATTGGCATCACGCTTGCTTAAGATTGAAAGGGGATTTTATGATAAAGCCTGAGAAAATGAGGAAAATCCCCTGAAATATACCGCATGCTGCTACACAGTTGAACTGTATCCCCGGTCAGCACAGGTTCCCAGATTTTCTTAAAAAAGGTGTTTTTTTTTAGAACAGTGGATGGTGCTCTCAAAGCCTGTATAATAGGCGTATGGATCCATTTTGCCACCAGAAAAATTCATGGCTGACCTTAAGATCTGTCAGAGAATCTGAAAACATTTCTTATTGATATTAGGCCATACTAAGCTACTACTTTACAAAAAGGATGATAAGTTGAAACAAAAATCATACACACATACACCAAGAAGAATGTTTTGNTACATAAACCAAGAAGAATGTTTTGAAATAGTGTATGTGTGCTTTTATCAGAAGTGGTCACAATGAGAATCATCCAAGATGTCATGACTCCATGACTTGGCATAAAATCTCGGATGATTTCCATTCAAATTTGCAGAAACCCATGTGAGCATTTGCAATGGTTTCCATTTCAATACCCATTATATCATGCAAAGTCAGCCATGAAAGAAAAGGTGGAAAAACTTAAAAATTTTTTTCACATCAAAACATGCCACTTTTATAACTTATGTGATATTTATAGCTTTGCACTATATGCTGGGGTCGTATCACTTGTATTCTTCATTTCTCTTTTGACGCAAGGCTTAACATTATTTTCAGAATATTCATGATCACTTCAGCTGCAATCAACCTGCAGTTCTTTGATGTCACACTAAGATAATGGGCTCGACCCACAGAGGCTACGACATTCATTTTCGTTAAATGAAAAAGACTCCTGTGATAAATACAGCACTACGGTTGTCCTCACCTGCTTTATCTTAATTTTTTTCAGCAGCGTCAAGAAGAAAGCATGTTTTAACTGAGGTGTTCTTTGTCAAGCCAATCTTGTGTGGATTCTGTAAGTATTCATTCATGTGGATTTTTATCCTTACACTGGCCCTGAACTAGCACATGTATAAGACATTCCTGTGCTCAATATATATTACAGTACTATATAAGGGAATGAGATTTTTCCAACTATCGGGGGATTTCCAACTTTTTGGGGACCCAAAAATTATCATTGGACGAGGCAGCCCACTGGACCTACGCCATATTTTTCCACTAGGTAGCAGTCTCATCCCTGTATTTATTGTACCACCAGCGTTAGCGCTGGCGGTACACATGGTTTCGGTCCCGTCCGGATCGTTCCGCCGGCTCCGCCGGCTCCGTTNCACATACACCAAGAAGAATGTTTTGAAATAGTGTATGTGTGCTTTTATCAGAAGTGGTCACAATGAGAATCATCCAAGATGTCATGACTCCATGACTTGGCATAAAATCTCGGATGATTTCCATTCAAATTTGCAGAAACCCGTGTGAGCATTTGCAATGGTTTCCATTTCAATACCCATTATATCATGCAAAGTCAGCCATGAAAGAAAAGGTGGAAAAACTTAAATTTTTTTTTCACATCAAAACATGCCACTTTTATAACTTATGTGATATATATAGCTTTGCACTTTATGCTGGGGTCGTATCACTTGTATTCTTCATTTCTCTTTTGACGCAAGGCTTAACATTTTTTTCAGAATATTCATGATCACTTCAGATGCAATCAACCTGCAGTTCTTTGATGTCACACTAAGATAATGGGCTCGACCCACAGAGGGTACGACATTCATTTTCGTTAAATGAAAAAGACTCCTGTGATAAATACAGCACTACGGTTGTCCTCACCTGCTTTATCTTTATTTTTTTCAGCAGCGTCAAGAAGGAAGCATGTTTTAACTGAGGTGTTCTTTGTCAAGCCAATCTTGTGTGGATTCTGTAAGTATTCATTCATGTGGATCTTTATACTTACACTGGCCCTGAACTAGCACATGTATAAGGGATTCCTGTGCTCAATATATATTACAGTACTATATAAGGGAATGAGATTTTTCCAACTATCGGGGGATTTCCAACTTTTGGGGACCCAAAAATTATCATTGGACGAGGCAGCCCACTGGACCTACGCCATATTTTTCCACTAGGTGGCAGTCTCATCCCTGTATTTACTTTATTTACTTTAACTATAATTTTGTACATTGTTGTATAAGTGTAGACTAGTGGCTCAGGCCCTGTTCACAGCAACTTCCATAAAAACCATTCTTAACAATCCCAGGAAGTAGACACTTGAAGCCCCCCCCCCCCCCCCCCCCTATTCTCCTGCCTGCAATAGAAACAAACATCCTCTGTAGTCCTCAGGGGAGGTACTCACACCCAATACTGGACTGGACTGGACCCCATTGGGGATAGGGGGGTAGGAGCGGATACAACATATTTTGTGATCACTATTGTGAGTGTGTACTGATATTTTTTATTGGTAAGATGATGTAGATGTTTGCTTTGAAAAAAGTGAAAGGTTAAATCATGATATGAGTTGTCAAGTAGCTGTGAGAGGTATTATGGTGCCTGGATGATGATTTGTATTGTAAAGCAATCTTACACACATCTAAATGAGGATTTACATAATGGAAAAAAATTAAAGACATCTGTGCACACTGTCGTTTATTTACTAGTACTATGGCTTAAAAAGAGAAGTCATTGTATTATGTCATGCAATAGGGTTTGAACTGTAAATTGTGAAGAACTGGATGGTTTCTGCAACATGGTTTTTCACCTCTTAGGCGTGGCACGAAGAGTCAAATTTCCATACATCATGAGATAAAATTTTTTGTCACTTTAGAAATGTTCTACTTTAATTTTCACCAGTGTTGGGTGGATTTGGAAGTGATTGAGTTATAATTGAAAGATATTGGCTGCCACAAAATTGCTGCTTCTTGACAGAAGATTTGACACAGTGAGACAGTTGTTATAACAAAAAAAAAAAAAAATGAAGAAGATGGACTAAAGAAAGCTAAAATGAGTGGCATCATTGACCCAGTGCTGATACTATTAGATGTCATTATATTTACTCTGTGTATTAATCACAAAAGGTATCTTTCAATTACATTTACAGGCTCTATCTTCTCCGTAAATGTATCCTTACTCACTAAATATAGTGTAATTGAGATTCTGTGAAACTCTCTGTAATTACTTGATCATGTCAGTGACACAGGAGGATAGACTTAATAGTGGCAAGAGATCAGTAAAAGAAAATAAACAACTCTGCTTGCTTTCAGGATGGGTATCATTTTGAACAATAAGTAATCAAAAGTCGACAGTGAAAGAAAAAGAAAACGGTTCTAATATGTTTATCTTAGATGATAAATGTCATGAAGGCTACGGTATTAAGTAAAATATGGTTAAGTCCCATCCCTAAATTACAGTGGTGGCATCATCTGAGAGAGGAGAGGAGAAATGTGTTCATTGCAGTAGAGCAGCCATTGCTGAGTGGTCGATGTCTCAAATGGTACAGTTGAGATGGTATTATTCACTTGCATGCGGATTCCAATTTTTCGTCAATAAAATTTGGTTTGAATCTCCTTACGCAATTCAGACCAGTGCTTTCATCTGTAGTTTTCAGTTTGATGTGGACAGAATTCAGAATAAACCACATCTTTTCAGAAACACAGGATAACCAATTTGCTGTTAATCAACAGAAAAAAAAATTTTTTTTTTTAAAAATCATTATACTTTCTCTTACACAATGATTGACGACAGCAGTTGTTTTATAGTTACAACTTGTCTTACTGGTGCTAAAAATAACTGCATACTTCTATAACAAATTGCAGTTAAGCTTTTGAACAGAAGAGGTCTTTGTGAAAGCTTTGTTTCTATGCCTGTTTTATCACAGCTGAGCTTCATTTACTTTTTTTACCAGCTAAATATGGTTGTATCATTTAATCCTCCATTAAATATTGTGCTGCAGCTGTTTAAGAAGGATGGGGAGGGGGTTCTCAAAGCATGAGCTTAAAAAGGATTTCATTTATTGAGGCATAACTGGAAGGCTAAAATAATTATTTTAAGTTGTACTGGTTTTTCTGCCAGAAAACAAAGTTGTTTAACATTAAGGCCTCAAAATGTGCAATTACTAGTACCAAGTCACTGGAAGAGGCCATTAATTGGCTTGATGGAGTTGGTCTTGCATGGCAATGACACTTCAGGTGATTTTGTCATATGTGTCCTAAATTGCTATTTCCCTGGCTTAGATAGCATAGTATATATCTATAGCATAGCTAAATATTGGTGATATTTAGATAGATGCATTAGTGATGCCTTTTGTTCTATACTTTAAAAACCAGTTAGGAGGGACCTGTCACAATTTTGGAGGGGAAAAAAAGAGACACGGAGAAAAAATCTTCCAGTCTTCTTGGCACCAATGTTAAATGTGATGAGCTGTTTTCTCCCCCTGCTGTTTTATTAATACATGAAGTGTGTTGTGGACAATGTGTGTGATTGTCAAGCCATATCAGTGTTAAATTGTTCAGAAGTTGTCTCAGTACAGGGCACCTGCTGATGCTGGACTGAAATGACTGCCAAAGATAAATACAACCTGGGCTCCCCTTTTCTAAATGATTCTTATTTGCATCAGCTACAGAATTTTTTTACAGAATATAGTTGATGGAGGATATTTTGTTCTGTTTTATGAATACTTTGGATTCACTTCCTACCATTGTGTTAATGAGCATGGATAATAATCCATTGTATCAATTACTCAGTGATTGTTATATTAATTTGAAACATTTTTACATGGAATTTTAATTGCATAATCTCATATCCAGATAATTACTTGATTCATGATAAGTTATGAGCCATTATCATGATTAATCATAAAAAATGAAAGGTAAATGATAAATATAGTAGGATGTTCATGGAAATGTTAACTCATTTGACATTTGGTACGTTATATGAAAAAAAAAACTTTTTTCCACCCCATCTATTCATGAGCGCTCCAGGCAACTGCATGATCCATCTTAAGCTTGATTTCTCTGTTGAAGGTCATTACGCACCGATTAACTTAATAGCGTCCTTGGCACCTCTGACCACACTAATGACCATTTGACCACAGGCTATGATGTGGTTGTTTAATGGACATAAAATGACCATCTGGTGATCATTGGCAGAGAGATGGAATAAAAATGTAGTCAACTATGATGTAATACTGGGCAGTGGGTTTTTTATGAGCCTGTTTGACCAGCTGCTGAGGGAGCTGCCAGAGGCCCTTGTGGAAGTTATGTCATAGGGTCATGGCCTATAGGATGTTGATGGACTCCATAGGGGGATTACAAATTTTTTCGTTCTTTTTTTTTTTCTTTTTGGCATCGTTGATGTTTCAAGCCCATGCTGTGTGTTTGATGTCAGTCACCGTGTCTGCTGGTGATGGAGTCTCTTAGGCTCCATTCGGAATGGATGATCTGAGTACTTACTGATCTGCTGACTAAATATGGCTGAACACAGTTCAAAAGCGTTGCTGCTAATCCCTGACTCCACACATATATTTAAACAGATTTTANTTTATAAAACATCTCCCTGTAAATCTGAATGTCCATGTCAAACATGTGCACCAGTGCCAGACAAAATCGCATCTGCAAACTGGCCCTGTTGAGTTATTTCTTTATCGTAATATTTAGCAAATGTGCAATCTTTAGACCAGCCTGCCGTCTTCAAAATAGTGTCTAATGGCACTTTAGCAAGTTTTGCTTGTGAAGATGCTGCACTACGTGTGCTGTGTGGAGTAAATTTCTCCATGTCTATACCAGCCATATTCATAGTTTGCTTAATCCATCTAGATATGGTAGATTTGGCTGCTGCCTTAAATGGCTTTACAGATGTTAAAAACAATCTTGTGATATTTCCTCTTAAATGTTTGACACGGTCCATGTATTCCATTAAGACAGTACATAAACATAATCGTCTATCTGGTGCATATGCTGTCACTGTTATTTCACCAATGTGGTGACCTGGTCTTGACTGCTTCAGTAAATCACCAAATCTAAATGTGACTTTAGACTTATTAATTGTGATGTTACGAATGTCAATAAGATGCAAGGATTGCGTTCTTTGACCTGTCAATAAAATGGTCAATGTCACTGCTTTCTTGCTCAGTTGTAAAAGATTAAGTTTTTTCACAGGTGAAAGTTTTTTGAGGTAATTCAAAAGCAAACTTGTGTCCCATATCACATTGTTCCTTGGTAATGCAGGTCTAGAAGTAAAAACTCCTCTCATCAGTCTAACCACATGAGGATGAGCACCTGCTGGACACTTATCCACCATAATAAAAGTTGAAAGTGCTGATCTTGCTGTATTAAGAGCAGAATATCCAAGTCCCATATCAAAGCAATGGGCTAGAAAATTTACAACATCAGTTACATTTGGTGACAGGGTATTAATGTTCCTCTCACTACAATATTGAATCCATCTGGAAATGTAAGATTCGTATTGCTTGACAGTTGTATCTCTCCATGAGGACATGACCAATTTGACAGCTGTTGGCGAAAATGCCATGTCTTCGAAACTTTCCCTGACAATACACAAGCCATTAGCTGTAACTTTGGAAGATGATTGTCCATGTTTTTGTGTGGGTGCCACAGCAATTCTTGCTTCCTGGGAAGTAAAAAAGGACAAGATATTAACATATGGCTCAATTTTGAAAACCATACTTGAGTTGTCCAATAAGGCACTACCACTATGATACTATCCACTTGATCAAACTCTATCTTGCTTAACATCTTTCCTATTAAAGAAAAAGGTGGAAATGCATAAGCATTTATCTGTGACCAGTCAATAGACAAGGCATCTGTTGTCATAGCAAATGGATCAGGTTTCCATGATACATATTTAGGTAGTTGATTATTCAGCCTTGAAGCAAACAGATCTGTTTCTGGTAGATAAAACTGCTTAGTTATATCTTTAAATACTGTTTGGTGCAACTTCCATTCAAGATTATCATGATCAAGTCTACTTTCTTTATCAGCTTCTACATTATTTTCTGATTCAATATATGCAACTGATAACCATATATTTTTTCCCTTGCACCATAACCAAATTTTTCTGGCCAAATTATTTAGCGAGGGTATTTTCCCTCCCATTCGAGCAATATATGACAAAGCAGTTGTATTATCTATACACATTTTAATGTGAATATTTGTTTCATCTCGTGCAAAGCATTTTAGAGCAAACCATGCAGCTAATAATTCAAGATGATTAATGTGAAAAGTACTTTCAACTGCTGACCAGTTTCCTCCTGATGTGATGCCCCTGCATGCTCCCCCCCATCCTTTTTCTGATGCATCAGAATAAATAACTAATGAAGGGTTCCCATGTGAAATCAACTTAAAACTTGAATGAATATTTTGTATCCACCAAGTCAAGTCTAGTTTCAAGGCATCATCATTGGCAATCTGCAATTTTGCTTGAAAGTCTCCTTTACTAGCTTTCAAAGCTTGATTTTTTCTCATATCCAGTGACCTATAAAAAAGAGGCCCATATTCTACACCAGGAAAAGATGCTACCAATAATCCTACTACTTTTGCCAATTGTAGTATAGTTATACAGTCCTGCTGTAAGAGATCGGTACATGCCGAAAATATTTTATCTGCTTGTCTCTTGTTTAAGGACACTCGCATTTTTACAGAATCCAATGTAAAGCCTAAAAAATCCAACTTTTGTGTTGGTTCTAAAACAGACTTAGTTGGATGCACAGTAAACCCTGCTTGAGTAGAAACTTTAACTGTTTGCATCACATTCTCTCTGCAATCTTGCAAAGATTCTCCAACTAAGAGACTGTCATCAATGTATGGACAATTCATGTGACCTAATTTCCTCAAATAGGAAAAAATTGGTTTGGTAACTTTAGTAAAAACACGTGGTCCACTCGCCAAGCCATTTGGTAAAACCTGATATTCATACAAGTTCCCATCAAATTCAAATCTTAACAGTTTCTTGTGTTCATCACAAACTGCCAGACAATAATAAGCATCTTTCCAATCTATGGTTGACATAAAACACTGAGGTTTCATAAGATTAATGGCTGACTGCAAACTGGTCATCTTAAAATGATGATATACAACAGAAGCATTAAGTTTCCTCAGATTTAAAATCAATCTGTACTTTCCATCTTTTTTCTCTCTTAAGAAAATATTGGAAATAAATTCACCTGCACAATGTTTGACCTTTCGTATCACTTTCTTCTCTAAAAGTTGATGGATTTCAGTACAAATTATATCAGATTCTACTTTATTGAAAGCATAAGTCTGAGGAATTCTTGACTGTTGTGTTGATTGGTCTATTTCAATATTGATACCATATGAAACAGTATTCAGTATATACTTATCTGATGTAAGATTTGGCCAAAACTTTTTGCACTTTTGTAAATTACCTGCAGTAAAATTTGCTATCTCAGTGGCCAATTTATCTTTTAAAGCATCAATATATGATGACCAATTGATACTGACCTCTTTAGGTGCTTCATTTTTTCTCTCTAATCCCGCTTGGGCTTGCCTGCGTGATTTGGCCTTGATTTCTTGAAATTTCTGTAGCCGTTTTTTGAAGGTGTGTACTTTTGAAAACCTCTTGGCCTATATGCTGGGCGATTACGCCCATAGTAATCTTTACGGCTTCCGACTTTTGTTGCTACCTTGTTGGTTTCATTGATACCTTTCACAACCCCGGCAAAATCATCGCCAAATAACCATTCGGTAATGGGGGTGTCCGGTGAACAAACGTCTCTGTACTCCCTGTGCAAGTCTGGTTTTATCAGTTCTCTCCTTCTAAGGGATATCTCAATGCTGCCATTGGCAACAAACGAAAACGCATTTAATACAAGAGACAAACCAGCTGGAATATCAAATGACTCCTTTTTATTTTTAGCCTCCAGAAACATATTCGCAAGTTGGGCCAGAGGTGTGAGCGCTCTGACCACCCTGGTCTGCGCTTTCTGTAATCTAATATCTTTACCTCTGGTAGCAGGTAGAATTTTATTCCACACCTCTGTATTAACTTTGGGCACTTTCAGCCCACTCAAGTTCGCTGGAGGTGGAAACTTCTCCAACTTTTCCTTAATTTTCTCATCCGAAATTCTTTTTGACGTTATTCTGTTGAGAATCTCCGCCAATTCTGGCATCATACTAGGAGATGTTGCTTCTTCGTCAATTAATTCTTGGGAAATCTTCTCAAGAATTATATTCCCTTCCGTTTCACTGTGGATTTCAGTATTAGTCAGTAGGTTGTCAACTTCTAAATCCATATCAAGCGACTCCTCATCGCTAAGAGCCAACAAATCGTCTTCGTCGACTTCTAAAGGACGTTTACTGTTTTCATTGATTTGTTTTTGCATTTGCTCCATTTTTTGGAGAATTTGACCCAAAAGATCGACATTCCCCCCATTGGAGGTGTCATTCGATGTGCTAGCCGAAGCACGTGGTGTCGGCACTTTCACCTCCTCATTAGAAATCTCCTTAGACGCACTGACAACCCGTTTCGCATGTGTTTTTATCTCCTTGTCAGTCTTTTGTTTTGGTCTACTCTCTTTGACGATAACTTTACTGGTTTTTGAACCCGAATTTTCGGGCTGATTGTTACCTTCAGAATTTTTATCCGCCATTTTTATCGGTGTCACTGTATAAAACTTTTACCACGCTCAATATACTTTTATTGCGCAGTACACTTGTGCGCATATAAATTGAAGCGCAGTAGCAATGTGCGCAGATGTAGCCACAGAACAGTGCTTGTAACAGTCTGAAACGCTAATCCCAACACTTGAAAACAGTAGTTAGCACGATTTCGTGCATTTATTGCGATAAATATGTATCAGTGTGTATTAAAACCACATCACTGTATTAACAGTATGTCAGCAAAAAACTCAAAACACTGCAGAAATATTAATTTCATGCAGCTTGTAAATCCGCGTACGCTTCGCTGAGAAACGGCGCAATGAATGACGCTGAGCTGCGCGCGCATCTCTCATGTGGAGCCTATTACGTCACTAGACGGTGATGTGGAATCATATACATGTAATGTAAGGTGTAAATCTTTATATATATATAAACCTCATAACCTCAGTTCGAGCCGATAACTTCCTTAGATCCTAATAAGGCTTCGTCATTGCAGCGACCTAAATAAAGCACACGACAGTTTATGACAATTGGTCTGAGCTATTTGTAGGCCTATGAGTTGAATAATTTCTAAACTGTAATATGGGAAATAAAAATCCCAAAACATGTACATGTTGCTACCTCCTAAACTGTGATACTAATAGTTTGGTTCCTTCTGCGCCGTTTTCTCACCGTTTGCGGGGGTATTTTGGTGAGATTTTTGCCTCTCGCACAGCTGAGCAACATGCTTTTATATTTTGCTCAGCCGCGCGAGAGGCAAAAATCTCACCAAAATACCCCCGCACACGATGTGAAAACGGCGCAGCGCAAGTGGTGCGCGCCAAATGCTCACCGTGTGCGGGCCCCTGACTCGCTGTATCAATACACTGTATCTTTCGAAGAAATAACTGTATCACTACCTCTTGTCCGTGGTTAGTATTACTTTGGTGTGCATCTATGACATAAAATTTTAATAACCACCCCTTGTCAAGAAGAAAATGTAAAGCTGTAGTTATTAAATTTGCGTATTGTGTAGGCCTATTAATTGTATTTTTAAATGATTAAAATTATTTCGTCGACTCGATTTGGTTGTACATCTCACAGGTGAACATTTTTTATCGATAAAATCCATTCATATAAAATAGCGGCTTTCAGGACAGCGTTTATTGTAGAATCTCACATTTCTCCTAAGACAAAGACGATAATCTATAACTTAAACACTGCTTTTTTATTTCTCAATAATTCAACGAATTGAGCAGCTAGTGGCAGAAGAAAAGACTATGATGTGTTATTTATTTTGGGATAAAACAAATTTTGAGTAAAATAAATAAATAAATAAAAAGGGTGTGTAATCTTTATACCGTAATTAATGTTGAAGAACGAAGTGAAGCATAAAGACATTTTTCAAAAATCACAAAACCCGACTTGCAAACAAAGTCTGAAGTGAAAGATCGACTATGATCCCGGTTACCAAGCAGAGCAATATTAGTTTCTTTATGTTTCTACAATGTTTCGAATAAAGTGTGTCCTTTTTGGGTCCCAAGATGGTGGCACACTTTTGAAAAAAAATCTTAATACAGAAAAGTTTTAAATCTAGAATTGTTTTTGGTGTCGCATTCCTATAGGAAATCTATGCTGTGGGGGAGTAACGGTGCGGGGAAGTATTGGTGCGGGGCTGTACCGGTGCTGGGACGTATATAGGGATGTAACCAACGGACGTATGCATGACAGATTGTTTTTAAATGTTAAGCTTGACAAGTGCACGGCCGTGCAAATAACCGGTCCCAAAATGCAAAATGTCATCAAACTCACATCTTTTAAGTTCTCGCGTATCTCACCAACGTCTTTTGATCGTCTAATAGTTTTAATGTGATAGGAAGATGTGGCGGCCTCAATGGCACAGCACCAGTACATGCGCAGCGAATGCGTGCGTAATCCAGGGTGCAACTGAAAATAACCTTGTCGCGCGACCTTACTGTGTATTTAAAAACGGGGAAAATTATATTTTTGGGCGAAAAATTTAAACATCATCTGATGATAGATGTTTAATAAGACATACCATTTCTGACGCCATCCTATTCACATATTATCCCACCAACAGTTTGATACTTTCCCGTAGTTCATATAAAATCAACAATCGCAGAAAAAGACCCGATAAAAATATATTAATGATATGGTTTCTCCATTTTCCAAGAAAGAGGATCGATATCATTTTCAGATTTTGTTCATGACAATCTGTTTTAGTTCCAAGAATTAAATACTTTTACTATTGCTAAATAATATAATATATATTTTTTTCTTTGAATAACAAGTTCCAAGAATTAAATGCTTTTACTATTACTTAATAATATAATATACTTTTTTTCTTTGAATTACAAGTTCCAAATCATGGTGTTCAGACAAAAACAACTAATTCATGCACCTGCAAAATCACTGGCAGATTATTCATATTAACAGATACACAAATCACTCACTCTGGTTATAATAAAAACATTGATTCGGACTTCATCCTGATTATGTGTATTTTATTCTGATTTAATTGTGCCTAAATAGATACATGTAGTGCTGATTTCATGCAAAAAACAACAGGAATCTCCACAACATACAGCTTTTTCTTAGAATTTTACACTATAGTTCAATCACAGACGATTAGCATAAGTCAACACAAGTCATAAGTCGTCAAAAACAAGACGCTAATCTTCTCAAATACCTTATTCTGCAAATCATACTTAACAGCACAATCACTGATGCTTAGCAGGGTTTAAGTCAATTCACAATCGTCACAAAACAAAAACACATCATCTTGTGCGTTATTTTTACATCCAGACTGAAGAATACCTATCTCGAGCTTGGGTATCTAGTTTTTTGCAGGCTTCACAACTCGGTCCGTTAGTGGGTCCACAGTAGCCATCACACCCTCGCACCCCTACCAGCACTCTTCGGCCACAATAAAAATGTCCCGTCTCTGGGCCGACCCTAGCTGCTGCACCATCAGAGTTCACGAGCCATCCCCGGGGAAGACAACGCCCCTCCACATCCAACTTCATACAGGCTTCACAGTTACACCCATTGGTCGGACCACAGTAACCATTACAACACCGACAATGACCATTCAACCTTTGGCTGCAGTAGTATTTACCAGTAGACCCAAGACGAGCCTCGTGATTTCTGCGATTTCTTGATCTTTCCACACGACAAACTTGTCCCTGCTGAATGTTAGTTGCTCCTTTTGGTTCGGGTTCAAACAAACGCTCTGCCTTGGCCAGTAATATATCTCGATGAACGTCACCAATGTGGTGAATAAAGTCGTCTCTCGGGCCGCTGAACTTACATGATGTACTTGGACATTCCAGCATTCTTCTCGGACAGCGGGCAATGTGTTCATTCATTTCAGATCGGGACACCGTGAGCCCGCATCCCATTGGGCACTGTGACTGCATGTTTCCTATGACTCGCCGTGCAAAATGGGCCACTACGGACTGAAAATGTTTCCTACAATTTGGACAGTTATTACTACCAACTGAAGACAAACAATTTTCACAAAAAATATGGTGACAGCAGCTAGTTTCCACTGCATTGTCGGCTATCTCATAGCAGATTAAGCAAGTGAGTTGTTCCTCCATCACATCTGAGGGAAAATTCTGCAAGACAACGAAGAGAAAATCAAATGATAATTTATACGTGTAGATACCTGAATATTATTATATGATTATCATTTAGATTAAACATAAGTGTTTATTTATAACTGTGTATGCACAAATTCATAGTTGCAGTCTACTGATATATTATACACGGTAGTGACAATATAGGCTTATACATGTAACTGATGTAAGTTCATGTAATTATAATTCCAGGGGTAATCAAAGAGAGGGTGAGAACCTGCCATTGTCTGTCAAAAGGCCTAACCATTATCAGAGTATAGCCACACCAGGGCCGTAGCCTGAGCAAAATGCCAGGGGGGCAGTAAGCGGACACGAGGGGGCGAAGCTACCGAGGGGGGAGGGGGTGGTGTGTAAATTCCAAATTCCAGGGA